TTGACCCAGCCTTTCAGGAAGGGCAGACTAGGCCCAGACAAAAGGCCCAGGCCTCCTCATCTCTTTCTGCTCACTAGGGCCTGGCTCACTCTGGGTGGTCGAGAGCCTCTTTTGTTGGGGGGAATCTCACCCCTTCCCTGAACTCCATTTCATCCCAGTGGGCCTGGGGCAGCAGACTTTCTCCTCTTTTTTCAGCCTTCTCATCCTATTACGCTTCAGCAGGACGGGCAGTGACTCGCGCAGGTGAAACCCACCTGAACGTGCTGCTCTGCTGCTGCTGCCTGCCCCTTCAGTAGGGTCGTCTGCCTGAAGGGCTTATGTCGTGAACGCTGTCTCTTGAGCTTCTGTAATTTTCTCAAGACCACATTAGCAACCAAAAAGACCATATGAATGCAGACAGTTCCTTCTGTCTACTACCCTCTTCCATGGAAGGGGGTGGGCCTGTTTCGGAGTCCTCAGCCTCATACTGAAATGTAGGTGTCCCTGAGGGCTGCTTTACCACAGGTATGATCCTGACTTCATGGGGCTGCCCCCATTGTGCCTATATCATATTGCTCTGTCACTAGAAGGGCACGTAAATGTGGCTCTGAGCCAAGCAAGAGATGCCAGGCTGGGTCTGCTTTGACACTCCGCTTTCTCTCACAACATAGGTCCAGGATTATTGCTTTTATTCACATTTTCTCTGCTCAAGTGTTTCATTCATTCAAGAAACTACTTGAAACATAGTATCTGTGAGAGATACTATACTAAGCTCTTTGAAAACAAAATGCATATAATACTTGCTCAAGCAGCTAATAATACAATAAGAGAGAAAGACAAGAAGATAAATAACTTAACAACAGTGGTTCTCAAACTTAAGTATGCGTCAGAATCTCCTAGAGGTCAGAATGTCTGATTTAGTAGATCTGAGGTGGAGCCAATAATTTGCGTTTCTACCAGACTCCTAGGTGATGCTGATGGTGTTGGTCAGGGAACCACATTTTGAGAAACACTGACTCACGAGGACAGTGCACTGTGGGTGCTGTAGAGCAGATATGAGGACAGAGTTTGGGAGCATGGAGGAGGGAGTAAATAGCTCCCTCTGATTTGTTTACCTTTCTTCCTGTTATTTTACCTGTTACATTTCCTCGGTCTGAATTTTCTGCACTTTATTTGTGAGGCCATAAAAGTACACTCAAGGACTCCTTTGGCACTCCACAGTGCTTTGGGCACTGAAGTCCATGTCAGTCAAGAGAGCCTGTTTTGTTCCATCCCAGTTGTTTCATTGTTTCTTGTTTCTTTCCCCTGCTCCAGCTACTCATTGACCTCCCTCCCTCTCTCGCAGACGGGTTTCCAGGAGCTGCAGGAATGAGTTCAGGCTTCAGAGAGTTCGAAGAGGAGGTTACTTTAAAAACTGGTCCTTGGGTGACAGCAGCTGTAAGAGTGGTTTTCAAACTGTTTTCCCTGGGGTACCCTGGGGACTATCACAGTGGTTGAGGTCTTCCAGCCATCCCCCCACCCACCCTGCCCCAAGTCAACCAAAGTAGCTATGCTTTTATTAAAAAGAGTTTCCGGGAAAAAGTAGTTTGAAGAAAGGGGTTCTACTGTTTTTATTTTTAACTTTGAAAATTACTGCTCTGTAACGTCTGCTCTGGTTTGAGCCTCCTTTTGCTCAGTGACAAATACTGCAAAGATTGGGAAATTTTAGATCTAGCTCCTGTGGATATTTCCTAAGTTCCTTTAACAAAGAAAACTGGCATATCTTTAAATAACTTGTAGAATTTTCCATCAGATACTATTCAGTACAAGAACTGTTACATTCTAAATACCAGTCTCAGAGCTAGCCCAGGGGTACAGACTTGAGTAAGACCCAGATCTTGCCTTCCTGGGTTATCACTGGCCCACTCTTGAAAATGTGTTAGAAATTATCCCAGGGCCAGCCCCTGTAGCCTCGTGGTTAAGTTTGGCACGCTTCACTCCAGCAGCCTGGGTTTGGTTCCCAGGTGCAGACCTACACCACTCGTCTGTCAGTGGCCATGCTGTTGGAGGTGGCTCACATACAAAAAGAGGAAGATTGTCAGTGGGTGTTAGCTCAGGGTGAATCTTCCTCAGCAATAAAAAAAAAAAAAGAGAAGAAGGAAATCATCCTCACTGCCCTCCTCTCCCAGTACACACCAGCGTGGCACATCTCCATTGACACATTTTGAGTTCATCCTCCTCCTGACCAAGCCCCTGCATGCTGCTTGTCTCCTGACATTTACAGTATCTCCAGGCTCCTTCACAAGAGGAGAAGGAAGAGATGATAAGATGTAGCAAGGGATTTGTCAAGTGTTAGGGTCATCCTAGTCTCTTGTAGGCCTCTGTTTCACTACCTGACTGCACTATTCTCAGCAGCTTGGGGTTTAGGGGATTTGGAAGCAAATCCCCCATTCTGCTGGGCTAGGCGTTGTGCAGATGTTAGTCAGTGAATTGTCTCTGAGAATCCGTGTAGACCCAATGGAAGGTAAAGCTCTCAGATAAAAATGTGGAAATGTCTGGAAATCATAAATTCCATCAGTCAGGCTAAGATTGAAACCCTGACTCCACCTTATCTCCATTATCTCTTTAGGATTGGATATCTTAAAAGACATACTCATTTCATTTTTAAAACTTTCTAATGGAAGTACCCAGTGATCAGGTAAAGCCCCTCCACTTCTCCGGTTCCTGTCGGCAGCAGGATGAAGAAGGACTGCTGTCAGGCTGCAGGCCACGCACATCGCCAGTGAGGGGCTTCTAGTCTCCTACTGTCACAGTGGGGCTGGGCAAGCACGGGCCAGGAAGTCAGTGTGCTTCATCTTGAGACTCTCTTGACTTTTAAAAAGACTCCAAATGTCTTAAAATAGCATGGTAGCTGAAATAACAATAACAACAACAACAATAATAGCTTGCCATTCCTGAGAATGGTTGGTTGTTTAAAATCCGAGGCATTGGTTCTGGCAGCAGTTAGTTTCCACAAGCTGGCCTCACACAAGAGTTGCTCTAATGGAAATCATATGGTCTCATCATGACAGGAAACATGGGGATCTGTTAAGTGTTCTCTCAGTCCCTCTGTAAGGAATTTCCCTACAGAAACTACAAATACCTACACCCCCTGAAACTGAAAGTAGGTGGTGTAGACCTGATTTTTTTTTTTCGTTTTTTTCTTTTTTTTTTTGGTGAGGAAGATTGGCCCTGAGCTTACATCTTGCCAATCTTCCTCTTTTTGCTTGAGGTAGCTTGTTGCTGAGCTAATGTCTGTGTGCCAGTCTTCCTCTACTCTGCATGTGGGACACCACCACAGCATGCCTTGATGAGCAGTGTATAGGTGTGCCCGGGATCTGAACCCGTGAACCCTAGGCCACCAAAGCAGAGCTTGCCAGCTTAACCACTATGCCACTGGGCTCGCCCCCTGATCATTTTAAAGAGGCTTATGATGCTACTGTTTCCCTATCCCAATAATCACTTTCAGTCCACTCTTTTGGCATAGGCTCTCCAGCCTAGACGTACAAGCAGTCTGTATCCCCATCAGCACGTCCTGAGGAGGTCATTTGAACTGCCTTGTTGAGAGAGGGCGTTGGGGAGGTTGGCCAGCCAGGATATCACACCACATTGTTGGAGTCCCAGAGCTGCCCTCTGAATGGATAGTCATCAGTCAGCTCTGAACTCTCATCCCGTCAGAAGCTCTTGCCATGCGGGCTAGCTATGGAAAGCCTCAGACCCACATGCACCCAGAGGCTCAGCTGCTTTTTGGTTGCTCCTTAGAGCAGTCCCCACATCCCACTCAGCAAAGCAGGCTTCTGTTTCTGGCCCCTCCAATATTGGAAACCCTGGGCAGAACCAGAGTTGGGGGAGCTGAGAGGATGAGGGAGACGAGGAGTGAACTGGCCTGGAGTGGCTTCTTAGATGGCGGGAAGCAGTGAAGTGACTCTGTTGACCTTGGGTCACATGCGCTATAGACTTCTGGAAAGTCCTGAATGGCAGAGTCACTAATGGCTTTATCGAGTCACCTTTTGCTGACACCCTCAGCAGTCCTGGGTAGCATCCTTGGCCTACTTGATTTCAGGTTTTGACAGGTGATAAAAACGCATATTGAGATCGCTGCTTCACAGGGTCCAGATTCCTAACTATTGACTGATGTTATTTTTGCCTTTGCTGAGAAGCTCTCTCATGTGTTTGCTGTTACTTTAATGGATTGCTTCCTCATACATTCTGAGGCCTGGGCACTTGCCCTTCAGTCTGGCAAACTGCAGCTTACCCTGAATGGAATTGAAGCTGCACGAGGAACATTTAGACCAGTCAGCTGGCAACGTGACTCACTTTTTTTCCCTAGAAAATATAATCAGTGTAAAAAGCAACCATGTTCATTCTTCTTTGCTTCTTTGAAGAGCCTAACTTTTTAATCAAGATACTTAAGCCTTTTCCCTTCTATTCTCTGAATTTTTAACATCTTCAGTGCCCTGTAGGCACAGTGTCTGGTCCTGTGCTTCTGAGGGCTAAAGGGAAAATGATTGACAGTCATGATTTATTTGTCAATAGTAATTAATACTAATAAGTGGAAAATGCTACAGTTCTTGTCTGTCGGGGTCCTGCAGGGAAGCCATTGTTCTCCCAAAGGCTCTGCAGTGGGTTTTCATGGGATATCTGCTACAGTTCTTTTTCTTCTTTTCCTCAAAGGGCCGCATTTGCTGTTTTTGCAGGAAATCCTCACTGTTTTGGGGTTCCCCCGGCTACAGTTGGAAAGACATCAGAGTATCCAAAGAGGAGTCCAGGCCTGAGATCTCAGCAGGACAGACAGGCGGCAGATGCTTTTTGCTCTGTTTCATTTTGTATTTACCATTCCCTCGCTTAGAGTTTGGGGGACCAAAGCCAACAGGTTATTAAAAGAATGAGAGTAATTTGACTTCTGACATTGATTGGGGCTTGGGGTTATTGAGTGTTTTGTTTCTGATTTGTAAACCAGCTGTTTGGTAACCACTAACTCTTCCCTTATTCTTTTCTTGCAGATGAGCTCACAGTGCCTGCACTTTACCCCAGTAGCCCTGAAGTGTGGGCCCCGTACCCTCTGTACCCAGCGGAGTTAGCGCCTGCTCTACCTCCTCCTGCTTTCACCTATCCCGCTTCACTGCATGCCCAGGTAATTTATACCCATCGGCCACAACTTCACTCACTCCACCACCAGTCCTTTCAAACCCGGTTACCCAGAGCACACCATACAACTAACACCTATCCAGCTAACAGATCCACCTTCAAGAGATTAATGATCCTCTCTAAATCAAGCTGACACTCCTCCAGAACTTATGAGGACCGTCTGACGGCAATGATATCACCCACTGCCTGATGTTTGCCCCAAACGACACCTCTCTCTTCCTTCATGACCTCACCCTCATGTCACACACGAGAAACTGGACCTAGGTTACCTCCCCAGTGCCTAGCCAGCTAGAGGGTGTCGCCGGAGCATAGACTTGTGTGCCTTGTCTGTCGTGTGGAAGGGCTGTAGAGGGAGGCGTGTACTCACAGGAGTTATGTGTCTGTGTTGTTTTTCTGTGTATTGAGAGAGTTCTGCTCTTATGTTCTGTGAGATCCAGTGACCAAAGAGGGAAGTTGGGAGCTTCCAGGAGGAACCCTGTGTGCTATCTTACATATGTTACAGAAAAGATAAGGGTTCCTTTTGTCCATTTTTAGGAAACCCTATGCAAAAGGAGGTACACTGTAGTATCTAGTCTTTAATTACAGGTCAAGGTAGAGGTCTGTTCTGACCAGCTTTCTTGCTTAGTCAAGAATAGCCTGAGTTTTATAAACAAACTCCTATGTTTCTTTACAAAAATTACTTTCCACGTACCAACCCTTCCTCTCCCCTTAGAAAAAAATGTTTCTCTTAGCTTTGCTTTTAGTGCGAGTAGTAGTACTGAATGTTAGGATTTAGAATGATGACCAAGAGCAAATGAGACAGAGTATAGATTCCATTTGTCTTACTGCATGTGTAACTCCTCTAAAAGCAGGAAAGCATGGTTTTTAAAAAATTGTTGGCCTGGACAGGTGGGGCTTTTGTTTGTTTTGCTTAGTGTTTATTTATAAGGCTGGATGAAATAAATAGCTTCCCAGAAAACTCTTCCTTCTGACTTAAAAGTCTTTTATGTTGTACAGAACTTACTGTGTTATATAAGACTTCTACAAGCAGCCCCCCCGTGAGGGCTCCTTGCAGGGCGTGGGCTCAGGAGTATTGTTGCCTGAACTGCCTTCTGTTCTCTTTCAGCCGAGTTCTCAGTGCGTCATGCATGCCTTGAGAACCCAGCATCCCAGACACCATGCAGGCAAACTACAACAAGAAAGCCTCGGTGCCTGGGCCCCCAGAGTGATTACCTTGAGTTGGGAGAAGGAGGTAGAAAGGAGTAAAAGTAGTGAAGAAAAATATAGATGGTGGTGGTGGGAGTATTTGTCACAGAAAATAAAGTAGCAGGATTGTTCTGAGACTGATTGCCTAATTTCTAGATTAGCTGGCTTTTTACTGTTCCTTCCTCTGCTGCTTTTTCCACTTTGTCCACCTCACTGTTTAGTCACCCTCACAACGGCAGGTAGCAGGGAAGAGAGGAGGATAAAATGTAAACCGTCTTCTGCTGAGTTGTCAGAATGTTCGTAGTGGCCTCAAAGATAAATTGTAGATGATGTAGAGCAAATCAAAGAGCCCCTTCTGTTTGTGGGCCCACCCCTGCTATCTGTGTAGATCTCCTATCCTCTTCTTCCTCTTCCTAGACTGGCTAGATACAGATCAACTGACATTTGAGGCAAATGTTAGTAAGACCATGAAATGGTGCCAAGTTTGCATAGTCTTCCTAATACCCATGGCTTTGTTTAATCAGCAAGAAAGCTTTTCGTCTTTACCCTGGAAAAGCAAGAATTGACAGTGGCCAGAAAGGACTGGAATAGTGGCTTTTGGCCCTGACATCTGGGTAATTTGCCCTTGCTTTGTTCATATAACAGATGAAATCAAAAGTAATTCTGAGGCTACGGTGGGAAAAGGAGCTAAAGAGTCTTAAGAGATTAGAAAGCAAGCGCATGCCATTGTGAGAAAGACTGGGGAGAGACAGTGCCAAGATTAGATGGACTCAACCACATGACTTAATGGGATGTATTGCTCATAGTAGCCCACTCCCCATGAGTTCTTCCTTGGTCTTGAGACTTTCCCAACCTGGAATCCACTTGACTCCGCCACATTGGTCCTAGAGTTGGTGGAACTCTCTTCTGATATCCGTGAGATCCTTGTGCTCAACTTCACTTCTTGTTTGGAGTCATTCCCGGTGCAAGCTTGGGTTCTGTATCCTAAAGACTCATGAACAAATATGGTTATTTAAATTTCATTGTCCGATATGAGAATCATAGAATGAACTGGTAGAGACTTTACAGATCAACTGGTCTGACCCATTTTACAGATGAGGAAACAGACCGGAGAAGATGGAGAGAGTTACCCAAAGTCGCAAGTGGTTCTGCCATGACTAGAGCCAGGTCACCTGACTCCCAGGCCTTGCTCTTTCCACGCCTCAGTGCTGGCTCACCAAAGACTTATTCTTTGATGGAATTTTGGAAAGGCCTCACTCCAGTGATTCCTTGGATCTTCTTTAAGTAGATGGGAAGCCTGTAAGAAGAGACTTGGAGGCAAAGACAAGGGAATCAGAACTTAACCTTCACCCAAAGGGCCTAAGAATTTTTATTAACTGGAGGTAGAGCAGAGGGGAAGACCAAAATGGAGCATCCTCTTAGTGGATAATTTGGTTTTTGTTTTGGAAGTCTTACTATATGTCTTTGGAGAGGCTTTTAAATAATTTTGCTTTTCTTAGCTCTGTTGTGCTCTGTTTTGAGACATGGATTTTTTTTTTCTTCTAGTGTTTCTCTCCTGAGGCAAAGCCCAACACACCTGTCTTTTGTCCACTTCTCCAGCAAATTAGATTTGTCTCTGGGAATGTGTTTGTAACATATCAACCTACTGCAGACCAGCAAAGGGAGCTCCCATGTTGAATTTGCTTGTTAGCTATTTCCACTCCCCCCCCCCCTTTTGCGAAAACTATTTCTTGGCAACATTTGAGAGATTTCAATAAAAATTTGAATCAGAGAAAAAATGATCTCAAGTAGACTGCGGCGTCTTGTTTTCATGGTGATGCGATTTTGGAGCTAAGATGTTATCTCTGACTGAGATTTTGGGAGAATTGGGCCCATGACACTTAAGTGTACATTATATGAGAGAAGGACTCAGAGTATCCTGGGAGACTCAGCCCAGAGCCGGGCCTAACTGCCAACGCTTGTATCTTCGTGGGCTCCCGGACCAGCAAGAGCTGCCTACTGGAAGATTCTCATTCTAGCATCCATGGGTCGCATAGACCAGAGATTGCGCTTCTGCAGGGATGGTGTGTCTAGCTAGTGGAAGCCTATTTGACCAAATGGAAGCATTTTCCAGTCTGTCCACCCTGATCCAGAGGAAAGAGGACCCTGGAGACTGAAATTGTCATTGAAAAGGCATTGAATCACATCAGGTTCTGCCCTAGCTTCAGAGTGTGGTCTGGTGCCTCCATCTCTAAATTGAAGATGCGTATTTGACATCAGATCCCACTTGTTAAGAAGTACTGGATAAGGTAATAGAACTACCAGCCTCAGTACTGCATGATTGTGTTTAGAGATGAAAGGACGACTTGGTGCAGCGAACATCTGATTCTAAGAAGATCATTAACATTTTTAGAAGTGATCATCCTGTTTACTTTCAAGGTCATTGCTAATTGAAATTTATTAAATATATTATGCAAGTCACTCTGAACAACAGAGGAAGGTTTCCTCCATGGCTCTAAGAAAAGTTATACTCTGAAGAAATCATGCAGCTGTTCTTGTCACCTCGTATTCACACCTCAGCTTTTTGAGTCTGGGTTCATTTTTGTTTTTAGTCTTGTTGCTGATGGGGCAGAGAGAAAGTCATTAAAGCATGCTGTCCTCACTACATTCTAGAAACAGAACACCATTTCCCCTTGACCAGAGTCACATTGTTGGGCCAGAAACTTTTGCAGGTAAGTGGGACTAAGAGAGCAAGTCCTGGCACCTGTTTCTTCCTCAGAGGCCTCATTTGCCCTGAGTAGCAGCACATCTTCCTACAGGGCTGCTCTCCAGCTGATGACTGAAACACGTCACCTGCACATAAACAAAAGGTTTTCAAATACTAACACTGACTTCCCCGGGGCAGCACATGCCCCTCAGGAGGTCCCTTGTGACACATTGGAAAAATTTTTAAAGTTAAACCCAAAATAAATATAAGAATGGACCATGGGAAAAGAGACCTAGGCAAAGAGGGAAGGGCTATCACCTGGGGAGAGATGGGCCTAGGAATGGTGTGTGGGTGGCCTGACTGCAGGACCTGCCACCACCCCCCCCACACACACACACACTGTACCCAGGTGTTTACTCAGTAGCACTGTGCAGTTTCTGTGAACTGCATTTTAAAACTTTTTAAAGAACAAATTTCATTATGCATCTCCTGTGTTGCTAACTATGCCTTAAAGAGAATACCAAGATAAGACACAAGAAGATCTGGCTTGTCATGGGATATGATTTAAGTACATAGACTGTGAGAGGGAGTGTCCTGAGGGAGGCAGGGAGCAAGGCAGGTGTGATTGTGGACTCAGGTGAGCACACAGCCCCTGTGGCATGGCAGCACAGCATCCTACCCAGGCACATGTTGGGACTCACACAGGAAGGACTGTTTTTCGACTTCTACCTCCTTCCTGTTCAGAAGGCAGTAGCCGCTGCTGTAATGGTGATCAGTCCTATAGTGGACCTGTGAACAAAATCCATGGGAGATGGCCTCGGCACCTCACCAACCGGCCAACCTCCCAGAGCTAAGGGAGGAGTTGGGACTTTCAGGGCATTTGCTTCTGTGCCTCCCAGATGGCATCAGCCCTTTACCCCTGACGTCCTCGTCCTTGAGGACTGGTTTTCCCAAAGGTGTATTGTCTTCCTGAAACCCAGGGCTCAGGGCTGTTCGGAAGACCACAGCTTTGAGAACTGCAGAAATTGCCTTTGGGCTGATCAGCCTAAGGCTTTAAATCTTTTTCTGACATAAGTGAAAGCATTAATCCTCTGACATTTACCTTTTCCTCTAAA